GGTTCCGTTCATTTGTTATTTTACAAACGGGGTCCATATTTACGTCGACGTTCGTTTTCTCTTGTGTAAAACGTACATGTAGAATGCGTCGACCAAGTTTGCGCTGTCACAATGGATGATTCTCGTATTGTTTTGATGATATGTGACGTTGCCATAAGATTTTATTTCATATAAAATGATTAAATAACATTTTTAATGAATAACCAGGACATCTGGTGTCTCGAATTGCCAAACACTTCTCGAGATCCAAACATGAATTATGTATGAGGTTGACGCTGAGTTCAGTTCGGAACTATTACTCTCCACACCCTCTCTCCTTTATCCCGATCCTCCGGATTTCCAACATTTATGGAAATGACATGTTTATTATTTAGTTTCCGGATGGATTTTTACGTCGTGAATCCGGGAGCCCTTGTCGCCGTCAATCAAACCGCCACTTTACCTTGTCTTTCCCCATCAATTAAAACGGCGACAACCTCTCCTGGAAAGTCACCTCTCCAAAATCGGAAAGGTTTCGTGGGGTTTTAACCCCCATTATTCATTCTTCACGTGAAATCCATCGAAATTGGCGTCGTCGCTAGTTGCCGCAATTTGCCGGATTGGAATTTAATAATTGATGCAGTAAATCTCACTGTCACTGTATGGGATGGAACTTTGGAAAGTTGGGACTCGATGTTTTAATTGATGTGACCCCCCAACTCCCTCCCTATTCCCAGAAACGCTACGATGTGGTGAGCAGGTGGTTCCCATAAAAATTAATTAATCACAATGCCATTTTGACCTAAATATATACGAAGGGTGGGAATTTACCCTAGTTTTAAAGGTGTAGTCAATCTTGTATATTTTGAATTGTTTAAGAATTTGTTGAGTACCGATTCTGTGTGGAGTGTCGCGAACAAAACTGCCATTCAAACAGAAATTAACAATGAGAATGGTCTCTCTACTGAAACGGACCACTCTGCAGAGTGTGCGAAGCTGCAGATAACGTCTGAATGAAACTTTAATCAGAGCTAAACACCGAATTCTCCAGCAACACCCCTATTTAATGGAGAAACGGGAGGAACTGTTTCTATATTGGATGACTGACGGCCTTATTTAGTGGAATAATAGGATTGTAGATCTAGAAATTCACTTTAATCTCTTTTAAACAAAAAATTACATTAAACATTTTAAGAGAAAATGTTTTATAATGTTTGTCTTATTTATGAATAAAAAAAATTACCTGTATATAACATGGATCTCGGCTTAAATTAATTTTCACTAATTGTAACAATATATGTTAACGAATATTTTGTAAAAATCATTATTTTCACCGACACTATAACAACCATTACCTATGATAACAACTTAAGCTTAAATAACTATATTTGTGGTTAACCGTCTAATCAATGACTTTACATTTATGTACAATGCTTTCACACAAAGAATTTGTTTTCTCTTTCTAGCACTAAAACATTGGTTTATTCTATCTCACTTTGATCTTAGATTCTTCTAAATGTCAATATTATACCATAATCTCAGAAAAACTGATGTACCAATGTAAATTGGGTAATGGAATAATTATGATGCCTGAATTCGTTATGAGCGTGTGAATTAAAGAAGATTGAGATTGCTTTGAAAATGTGTGATGAAAAATGACGTGTGCAAGTATGACAGATAAAGTTTAAGTACTTGAAAATCTGTCATAAAGTACAGATTAAGTTTCTACTCATAGAAACTTCATAAAAGAGGAGAATTGATCTCAGAGACGTAAGAATAATCTCTAACCTCTATTATGGGCAAAAAGCAGAAATACGTATAGAAGATTTAACATCTGATGAAATTGAAATTCAAAGAGGGGTTCGAAAACGATGTGTACTTTTTCCAATCCTCTTTATCCTATACTCAGAGGACATAATAAATAAAGCACTTGGTACGCTAATAAACAATTAGAGATATGCTGACGATACGGTTATATTAGCCAGCACATATGAAGATCTACAAAAGCTTATTAATAGGATAGTTGCGGTAAGCGAAGAATATATGTTGGTCTGAATATAAACAAAACAAAGTACATAGTTATTACAAAAACAACAAGAAACAATAATAAGATATATGTAAAAGAATAATGTGAAAGAGTAAAAGAATTCAAATATCTAGGCACAACGATTAATGATAACAACGACAACTCCCAAGAGGTGCACATTAGAATTGAACAGACTAAAAGCACATTTAATTGAACGAAGAAGCTTTTTTCTTGTCGGGATCTGAGTCTGGAGTTGAGAATGCGAATGATGCTATGGGCTGTCGGTACTGTTCAACAGATGGAAGCGTGGACACTTAAGGCGGTTGATGTGAGAAGACTGGAGGCATTTGAGACACGGATATACCGACGAATGTTAAAGATTTCATGGTTAGAGAAAGTGATCAACGTAGAGATGATGAGACGCATGCAGAAGGATAGAGAGATAGTACTGACGATCAAATAGAGGAAGTTATTATTTATAATATATGAGCCATGTCATGCGAGGGAAAATGTACCAAGTTTTGCCATTATGTAGGGAAACGTTCTGGGAAAAGGTCTATAGGAAGAACATGTAACTCCTGGCTGAAGAATATTTGGTAGTGGTTTGGCCGCACCAGCAATGAATTATTCATATCCGTGGTCTCAAAAGTTAGAATTGCCCTATAGCTTTTCTAGCTACACCTAGAAATAGAAAGTTTCGGATTTAACCGTGCGTCTCTTAATTTAGACGGCCGAAAACTCAGGGTTGCCATAACGACGTCACCTTTTTCCAAGCACAACTTTTCCTTTCCAAACTACCCAATGCCTGTACTATTAAACTATAGTAGAAACTACTGGAAACTACGAGAGCTGGCAGCTTAAAAATGGTATGAATCAAGATATGGACAAGATGGTTATGTTAGTAATGGAGGTTATATGTGAAATATTGTCAAAGATAGTTGAGATTAACCAGTGAAATAGCGTCAATGTTAATTGATAATAAAGTTTATGTAATTATTAATTTATGTAACAAATAGTTGTGAAGGTTGTGTACAGGTCGCAAGTAAGTTTTATTTAAACAGTGGTTCAACGCTCACAAAACGTTTCGATTTGAGGTTACGATTACGCTAGGTACATCCGTTAGAAGAACAGACGTGCTTTTTTGACGTGGCTACATGAATTGTACAGCAGACTATTAAACTCCTTGATTAAACTAATGCTATTTCTTTCTAACACATATTATTCTCTAGCGGTTTGTTAATTTCAATTTACTACGTATGGCATTTGTAAGAGCGGAAAACGATGATTAGTTACATTTTATGTGGGACAGTGCAAGTGTACAGTAGTTTCGTAACTATGGTTACTGCATTCATATAGCAATATATTGCGAGTTATATGAAATTTCCTTTCTAATGTTACAACCCTCTGTATTCTTCTATATTTAAATCCAATATCTTGTAGATACTACTATTTAAGTAGTCTTATTATGTCTTCTTGGATTCCGTCCAAACCCTCTTTGGGGGTCGGTGTTGATGATCTACCATTTCAGATATCTTATGACATACATATGTCATATGACACGAGTTAATCGACTCATAAAATTCTATTGTAGATAAAATTATTAGCAATCTTTTCTTTTCAATTTTGCAAAAAACGTAAATGAAATGTTTGTTCATAATGATTAGTTTAACAGAAATTAAAAAACGTTAAAAAAAGCACCTTCATATAACATCTCAACCCAAATTTGTATTATTTAACGTTTCGTTACTAATTAAGCAAACCCGATTAAAAGATAATCACCGAACCGAAAAGTAAATTCACCCTCAACTTGAAAATGAGAAAGAGATGGAAAATTAGGGTGACATCAAAGTGATACAGGGTGGACGTAAAAAAGAAATCACCCGGAACTTTAGTTTCGATATAAACCGCGATGGGAGAGAAGCGCGCGCGCGCCTAATTCAATTATTCCAGGTCCGGATCGCCGACGAACGTTGTTACTTTTTTTTTCGTATTATTTTCCGGACGAACGCGTCGCGGGGAATACTCCGGGCACGTCGTCGTGACGTGCGGCGTCGATATCGCGGCGGTCGTGACGCCGTGACGTCACGGAATCGATGCAGAACGACGAGGACGGGGTATAGAGTACGCGTCGTCGTTATGGCAACGAGAGAGTTCGGAGCGCATGTTGCCAGGTAACAGTGAACGATCATAGTACAGGTAAAATTATTAATACAGGAGCGTATTTAATTAAAAAGTTTTTTAAATTTAATTAAAAAAAATTTTTTTAGTTGTAATTTTGAAAAATAAAATGATTTTCTTTTTTTTTAGCTATGTTAATTATTTGTATTATTTGTGTTGTGGTTTAAATACAACTGTAATGGAAATAGATGCGCGTTCTCGGGGTAAATACGTTCAGGTCTACAATCTAATTATAAACATTTTGAGCGCATCTCTTAGGTGAATCAGCTTGGAGATGCTAAGACACCTAAAGTGCGGCGCCCGTTAAAAATAAGATTACTTCAAACTTATCCACTTATCCTTTTAATTAATAAATTGTTACAATATTTGTTTTGTATTAACTTTTTAAATTTTCAATTAAAATTTTTTTATCTTTTAGATTGAGTGCCATAAAATATTATGCAACTTTTATCTGTAGAAACCTATTTATCGTATTACTTAATAAATACAAAAATAAATCGTGATAAGTTTTTTTTTTAACGATTAAGATAGTGATAACACTTTTTCTCTATTTTTGATTTTTTAAACTATTTTTTTTTGTAATTTCGATTCTTGTCGAAGTCAAAGAGATTCTTGTGGTTTTCCCTTTTTGGTTGGTAAACATTTCCGGTGAATTTTCCGGTTCTAATTAAACGAGGTAAGAGGTAAGGTTTTTTTTCCGGAGGCGAATCGTTTTTCAATTAAAACCCAAAAACAAAAGGAACTTCCCCCAGTAAAACAACAGCAACGAAACCTGCTGTGAGGGACGTTTTTTCAATTACTCTAATAACATACTCACCATGCACCACCAGATTTCTTCTTTTCCACTTATTCTGTTTTACTTTTTCTACTTCAAAATTTCGTTTTATCTCTTCAACGAATTTATTCACTGATTTATTTAAATTAAACTGATTATTTTTGTTATTCGCGGATTTTGTTCTCGCTCGTGCTTTATTAATTAATTAATTTTTTTGTTGGGATTAATTTTTCTTGGAAAAGATGACGTTTTCGTCGTGGTTTTCGACGCCAGGCGACCTCGCACTGGGGTGGTTTTGGTTTTTTCTTGTTTAATAAGTTTTAGAGAGTTTCTAGTTTATTTTTTAATTTAATTTTTATTTATTGTTCGAAAAAACGAGGAGAATTAAAAAGGGTTAGGAGGGTTTACGGGTGTGAATTGAGAGCAGAGCACCGAACAGAGATAAGCCCCAGAGCGGACTGAGCGTCGCGACGCCCGGCGTCGTCGCCGCGATGCTTCGGATGCTGCGTCGACTCCACTCAATTCCTACTTCGTCGCGACTAAAAACTAAATTCTTTTTTAATTCAACTCTTTGTTTTAACCCTTATAATATCATACAATTTTCAGAAAATTTTACTTTTTCCAACATTTTCAATTAATGATACACTTGGGTCACTAATACAATACATTATTATCAAGAAAAAATATAAATGTATACATATTTATATCAATAAAAAGCAGAACTAAAACAAAATAAATGTATGGCAGAAAAAAGGTGCTGGGTTCAAATTGCCACAAAAGTGGTATTTGTTCTAGCACCAAGCCCTATTACAAAAGAAAACAAAAACTGGAACAAAAAACAAACAATAAAAAAAATATTTATCATATATTTATCTATTTTGTTTTTCTTAAAAATTCATTTCTTTCCCCATCAAAAAGCAAACTAACATTGTAATCTAGTAGCGCAAGAATGTTTTACACTCGATGCTATTTTTGTCCAAATAAATAAGTAGATGTTTATTACAAAATAAAGTTTAATTGTTTCTTTTGTGTCTAGCGCTACTTGATATTCGTGGATATTCGTGGAAAGGTTTGACGTTTCGGATGCCATGTTGCAATCTTCTTCAGAAACTGGTTCGAAGTTCACTTCGAATAGCGTATATCATTTTTAATGCCTCATACGATCGCTACGTACACCTATTAACGTACTACGAAAAGATGAGCCCCTCCTCCAGCAACAAACCTAAACTGCGGAGGGAAGTTTTTAGTGGTATGCACTGACCGTCAATAACAACCCTCAACCTCTATCTGAATGAAGTGTCACTTCTGGGTTTTTTAAGAACCAAACAAAATTAATTCGGTTTTCGCAGCATTCCAACGTAAACTCTTAACTGTTCAAGGTCAACATTCAACCTATCACAGGCAGTGTCTACCTCGTGGGGAAAAACGAGATGTATAGCTGCGTGTCCCGGGAACCACCACAAGCCATAAAGTCAACATTAAAGTCGCCCACAGCAGTAACGATATCATGCTCCGAGCATATCGCACTTAAATCAATCTCTAATTCCGAAACAAAGAAGTTAAAAACACAATTAGGTGGCCTATACACAACGCCTATAACCAAATCATTTGTTCCACTATTAATTGAAATCCAAAGCTGCACACTATTGCCAGAGGAAAGAACGCGAAATTAAAAAATTTTTACTTATGTACAGGGTGGCCCAATTTGGGTGTTATTATAGGCTATCTCAGAAACTATAAGAGATACGAAAAAAGTAGGTGCCATGTCCCGGTCTCTTTTTTCGAGACTAACCCAATCCCGCAAACACCAAACCTCTATCTTCTTTTGTTTTTTAGTTATAGCCAAAAAGTCAAATTTTCGTGATTTCAAAAAATGCTCATATTTCGTTTATTTTTGAAATTAGAGAAATGGGGTTGATACGTTCTTAAGACACTTTTTTAAGTAGAATATACTGCCGTTGAAAAATTTTAAAAATATTTGATGATTTTTGAGATACAACACAAAGTTGTATTTTTTTAAATACAAACTATACTTGATTATGATGTTAATGAAAAGAGCATATTTTTAGCTTTCCAATGATGTATCGCATGTATGGTGTATTTGCGGAAAATAAGCGTTAATTTTCAATTCCAAAATAGTAAGCGCTAAAGTTCAAAATTTTGATTATAGTAGGCGGGTTCGGACAGTAATTACTACCTAATTGCTATATGGTTTTGCACGAATATGACAGAAAGTTGGTCTTGTACCATTATGCAGGATAAAGTTGGTTTTGTACCAACGAATAAAAACTTTGAATAGTTGATTTAAATTTCTCAGTGTCTTATCCCTGACTTTGTTCACCAATAAAAAATGATTTGTAGATAAAGTTTGTTTATTAAAAATACAAGAAACGTATTAATTAATGAATAATTAAATATGAACAACAACTTCAGGAACTAAACAGTCACAGACTGTGTCATCTTCTTCTACTAAACTTACTGGTTGTAAGGTTAGAACAGTTGGGTATCAATGAATGAAATCTTCGGTAGTATCTTCCCAGTTTTCCCCAACCATGAGATTTAGAAGTTTTTTCATATTAGCAACCTTTTCTTTTGAAATTGGGTGAGATAGAGGAAGATTAGGGATCATAAACTGGGCAGCGGACTTTCCATTGAAACGATGTTTATATGGGATATGGAGCCTTATCTATCATTTTCAAAGAATCATTTTTTAATTTTATCGCTTTATGTATTTAAAAATAATGAGGAATTTTTAAGCGGGAAACTCGTTTCGAAAAATTCATGAATGAAATGATCAGTAAACTCACGTTACTATAGTAACTAAGTGGCATTTAACGTTTTCCTCGCCTACTATAATTAAAATTTTGAATATTAATCTTTAATATTTTAGAATTAAAAAATAACGCTTATTTTCCCCAAATACACCATGCGTGCAATACATCATTGGAAAGCTAAAAATATGCTCTTTTCAGTAACACCATAATCTACTATAGTTTGTATTTAAAAAAATACAACTTTGTGTTGTATCTCAAAAATCATCAAATATTTTTAAAATTTTTCAACGGCAGTATATTCTACTTAAAAAAGTGTCTTAAGAACGTATCAACCCCATTTCTCTAATTTCAAAAATAAACGAAATATGAGCATTTTTTGAAATCACGAAAATTTGACTTTTTGGCTATAACTTAAAAACGAAAGAAGATGGAGGTTTGGTGTTTGCGGGATTGGCTTAGTCTCGAGAGAGACCGGGACATGGCACCTACTTTTTTCGTATCTCTTATAGTTTCTGAGATAGCCTATAATAACACCCAAATTTGCCCACCCTGTACATCGCTACCCCTCCACCCCGGCATACCCTATCCCGTCTAATAAGTGTATAACTGTCGATAGACAGCCGTTCATTGTTGACATTATCATTAAGCCACGTTTCAGTTAATCCCAACACAGAGTATTTCTTTTCAAAAAGTACATTCGATACTTCATCAAGGCAGGTCAGAAGAGAACGTACATTTAAAGGCCTTTGCCCACTACACCGTTCCATACGAGGACCGTAGCAGGAACGTACCAAGCACGTAAGAAAACGTTCTGAACACTACTAAGCCCACTGCAATGGACCAACAGCGTTCTATTCTCGTATGAAACGCGTATTATGCCCGTGTATGCAAATTGTAGATGCCCCGTTCGGATCACGTTTAGTGCAGCACCAGATCTGTTAGTTGTTGTACGTTTTTGCTGTCGCGCCTATCTGCGGATAGTATCAAAAAACCGACGGTATGACTATTAGAAAGTTATCTATCAGACAATTGGCAATGATTGCCAATTATATTGAATTAATGCCGATTATTTTGGACAAAGAAGAAGAAGTAACGCAAAAACAGCGGCCACGGTACTGGATTCACGATGCTCTAAAAGAACGAAAAGGGAGTATACTGGACATTATTTAGACACTTAATTGATGCTGAAGAAAAATGTTGTCAGTACTTTCAAAGGTCATCATTTCAAATTTCCTTCCAGGCTCTCTCTTTCCTTTGAGTATCCATATCAATTTTGGATGTTGAAGGTTATATAAAAATTGCTATTTACGAACACATTTTATTAGTTTTTCGTCCTCCATATTTAACAAGTGTGAACCTGCTGCAGTATTCTCTCGCGAAAGGAATAGTAAAACAGATTTTTAAGAATTTCTTCTTTAGTTTTATAACTCAGGAACTTCACTATGACAGGACAAGGATGTTTACCGTTCTTCTTGTTAACCGAAATCCCCATATTATCCTTTAAGGTCGCTAGAACTTTGTGTTCAACATTTTCCACTTTTTCTTTGTCAAGTCCAAATATCCGAACATTGTTACGGCGCGAATGTTGCTCGAGACCATCTATTTTTTTGTTCAATAACTGGTTCTCCTTTTGTAAGTCCTCGTTTTGTTGTTTGAGTGACTCAATTTCCGCCACAAAATGTTCTTTCACAACGTTTATAACTTTGCATATAAAAGTTTCTTTTTTTTTAAGTCACCAATTAATTAGCCAAGTAAAACTTTAAGCTCTCGTAAATTTTCATCCGTGAAACGCATTTTTAACAATAATAAACACTAAATAACACGCAGCCGAAAAGTTGTGTTATTACTCGGACGACGGCATTCACGCGATATTTCTTCTATTATAATAATAATATATTTATTGAGCTTTAATGGTTATGTCCGAGCTGAGGGGCAATTTAATGTGGCTATTCTAACTGTTTTTGAAGCATCGGTGTACTAGGCAAGGGCTCCTCTTTTAAGTTGAGGCTCACCCAATCATCTCTGCTTCTAAATATGACCTTATACGGTTTTAATTTCAATCAAGTGGTTTAGACGTCGGTCCCTGAGGATTTCGAGGTGTCCTCTGAGGTTACTGTCCTTCTGAGCATATTCTCAGTGATGCCTTCTTTTGTATGTGTAAATGAAAAACTGCTGATTTACAATCAAATCCTGAAGTTACATGGCACTACAGCATCCAGCTCTGGGGCTGTGCCAGTACATCCGAAGACGGATGAGACAACAATCATGTAATCTCAGTGTGTGACGACAAAACTAGTAAGTGTACGTCAATAAGTGTTTTTCTGCATTAAAGACATTCCTTCAAAACATATCAAGATGTGGATTTGCCGTGTCTGGTGTGTTCTTTTAGTCTAATTGTTGGTATCATAAATTGCAAAAAATCCTGTATTATAAGAATTAAAAATAAAACATAATATTTTTGGAATCCTCTCAAAGTCAAAATCGTAATAAAAAAGTATTTTTTTTTTTGGTTGTTTCAATTAAAAGTTTAATTTAATCAAACCTCGTAAAATTCGACGAAACTAAATCAAATAAATTTTTTCCCTTCGTTTCACCGAAACCCCCAATGTTAATTCAATCGGATCCTTTGATTTTCAATTGCGGATACTTTTTTATACGATTACTTGCAAAAAGTAAACTACGAAAAGTTTTACTCGCAATCAAATTTGATGAGTAATTATAGATTTTTCACCAAATAATAATGAGTAATCAATTTACTTAACTAATGTGTCATCTCCAATCGTTTATATGATAAAATGACCCCCTAATATTAGATAAACAATAATTTACGATTTATCTGTTGAGTATATATATTAATAAAGTTTATGAGAAATTAAAGTCATTTCTAAAAAATTGTAAAATGGTTCAAATCGCTGGAAAATACACTCACGATCGAAATGAAAATTTCGAGGCTTACATGCAATCTTTTGGTAAGTTTTTTTCAATTAATTTTTATTGTTCTAAATTTTATAAATTTATTTAGGTCCTTTAGTTACTCCCGAAGTAATAACCCAATACGTAAACTCAAAACCAACGATCGAAGTTAAATTGGACGGTAATAATTGCACAATTTCTAGTTCTGGAGGTCAAACGCAAAGTTTTACATTTGGGCAAGCTTACAAAGATGATCTTTTCGCCGGTCACGATATTGAGGTTACTTTATTTTTCAATTCATAATCGGCGATTATAATCATTTTTATTATTTATTTATTTTTATAGAGCACAGCAACTTTGAATGGAAATAAAATTGAAATTAAAACTGTTAGTAAGAAATCTGGAAATAGCGGTGCCAGAATTTACGAATTTTCAGATGAAGGTTTAGTCATTGTAAGATTGTTATAAAACTTTTATTTCATTCTAATTCAATATCATTTTTATTTGTAGCATTACACAGGTGGTGTTGAAGCGAAAAGATTCTATAAACGCGCTTAAAAATGATTTAAAACTTCAATAAAATGTTATAAATAAATTTTAACATAATAATAATTTTTTCATTTCACCTCAATATACCTCAGTCATTCGTATTTGTATTACCAATTATGCAACAATTTTGTCACGCTACGATTATAGCATTATAGTGTAGAAGAAGATGCATAAGTTGCAATCAATTATTAGAAAATCATTATTTTAATCACTTTATGGTGTAGCTAAGGGCTTTGAGGATTCTAACTTTTGAGTTGATGAAGGAATGCTTCTTATCGCATTGTTATGATAGAGTATATCATGTTGAGCTGAGACGCACTGAATATACTGTAAAGTGAAGGATATTTAGTTAAAGTTTAGGAATGCAAACAAAGTGTTTTTGAATTTACTGTATAGAGTAACTCAGACTCATCATGACCAACGTGAGTTTTTTAAAAAGATATTGGAAAGGATTAATGTACAACTTGGTGTAAAGTATATGGTATAGAGAACCATAACCATTTACGGAGAGAACTTTTATTGTAGACAAGGGCCACTATTACAGAATGAGATGGTGCTCAAAGTTGTTATGAAAGTTGTTTTATGTATGTGCTTTTATACGCTAATAGACCACAACCTGTTTCAGTTGAGAGGAGGAATGAGGTTGCTTTTATTCAAACACATCACTTTACAGCCTAAGCACACTACTCATAAATTTCGATAGTATTTTTCGACAAAATGTGAACCGTAGATTCGCCGAAGAAAACTCATTACATGAAGGAATCAGATCTTTCAGAACTAGCATTAGATAGATTTTATGCAATACCTCGCAGAGATAATGGTTATTCTCCAATATCTAAGGTGTCTTAATGCTCCAATCTAAGATGTTGAGAGGTTGCTTCTTGCAATAGAATCTTGATTTGATTCTGATATGGTGTCTCTGTGGACATCAAATAAGGTTTATGTAGTGAATTCTACTTCACTGAAGACTACATTTATGTCGAGGAATCTGGTGTATCCTGATTTTCTTCTTCGTCTGCAATACATCACAAAAGTCCGGCGGCATGGTATTTTTAGATAAAAACAAAACAGAAGCATATGAAATTTGGCATAAATTTAATTCAAATATTGACAAATAACAATGTATAGGTGCATCTTTGATTATATATAATATGGATTGAGCCAACGAGAGAGATAGCTTGCGCAAGGTGATCGAACCGAGATAGACATAGAAGCGTACTGCCATATAATGGGTGTACTGATAGAAGTGAGATAGATATAGAAGCGTACTGACATATAATATATCTATCTTTGTTACACTTTCACATTATCGCTTTCCATCTGCGTCTATTCACCTTGAGCAACATTTTTGTTAGTAGATAGATTCAGTTAGCTCAATCCATATTATATATAATCAAAGAGGTGCATCAAATTCGTTGTCCGCATAGGCTATCTCCGAAACTAAAAGAGATAGAAAAACTGTAGCTTACATGTCATGATCTCATTTTTTCGAGAAACTGCTAATGTCTAAATTTTCGAACAACCCTATCAGCAAAAACTTAAGAATTTACGAATTTTCACAATGAATTTCAAAAATGATGATGATTAACCTTACCAAACATTCTTTTCCGGGGTGATTGACTGCCGAAAGCAAAACTGATCTATCCTAACATTCCGTCACGCTATAATTGAGATTCCTTCATGGAATAATCGGGGTTTCAAAAGAAAACTACCTATCTTAATATTACTCAATATTTTAGTCAGAGTTGATTGACATTTGTAAACAAAACTAACCTAACTCAAGTTTTCTTTTCTGGAAGTGAGTTTCTGGAAGAGAGTTTAATTTATAACACTCCACTTTTGGTAATAAGTGAGAAATTCGCGTTTGTCGTTCTCACAAATTTTTCAGTTTTTGTCGGTAGGATAAAAATAAAAGACAATAGCTGTTTGGAGTTTTCGTAAAACGAGGTCATGACATGTAAGTTACTTTTTTTCTGTCTCTTTTAGTTTCGTAGATAGACCGTGCGGACAACGAATTTGGGACACTCTGTAGAATTAAAGTTCGAAATATCTAAATTTTGTCTACACATAGGCCTTAAGCAATGATCATGCGTGGAAAGTTGGTCCGGCACCACTCATGAACCACCTTAGCTTTGTGCGCGTGGAAATTGATCTTGACTTGTTGATCAACAAAAATCACCGGTGTCTTTCCGATCGAGGATGTCTTTGAGCTCCGTCGGTGAGAAGCGTTTTAGAAGTTCGCGACGTCTTTGAAGGCGAGTGGCGTTCATCTGTTATGCATCTTGATGCTACGAAGTCCCAAACGATGTTTGACAACTCCGTGCTAGAGTCTTTGGTCTTCCACTTCTGGGACGATCCTCGAAGCAACCGGTCTCCCGATAATTGCGGATTGTCTGCCTGGCTCAGCCTCAAAATCATGGTACGGTCTACGTCAGACCTCAAAACGCACAAAGCAATCCTTTACATTTTTGGACAAGTCTTTAATAACAAATTCCAGGACTTTTGTTGAAATGTACGTAAGATGTACATTATTATTGATGAGTTAGATTATTCCTAGCAGGATTGATTAGGAGAAATCCATAGGGAGACACTAATTTTCACTTTCTTAACAAAATAATATTCACTTTTGATAGTGCGTGTAATGACACAAAGTGGCGAGAAATGTTATTTACACTATTAGTAGTGGAGAGAATCGATTTTATGATTGATGAACCTAATTATATCGGCTTAGCCGATTTAATTAGGTTAACGAAACTGGTTTATACTCTTTTGTCAATTACTCAACTACCTCCGAGAACAACTCTTTGATTGAAAGCTTCCTCAAATTGCACCTTAACCCTTTCAAGACGATCTTTTATTTGGAGAAGATAGAAACTTGTTTTAGTCTGGTAAAACATTTACTGGTACATACGGTGTACCAGGAGTCTCGAAAGGGCTAACTTATTAAAATATGTATATTATTCCTTAAATTCTTAAAATGACTTTTTGTAGAAAATTTTCCACGTAATAAAACTTAACTATTACAAAATCATCATTATACTATTGTTGGGGTTTATCTCATAGTTTATAAATCTTTCAATTTATAATAAAAATCTATTTCAATAATTTCGATTTCTACAAAAAAAAGCGAAACCAATATTGAATTGACAAATAAACTGCAATAAATCATCTAATCCACCTTTGACGATTACTTGCACAATTTTATCTATATAAACTCGGTTTTATCCGTTTCAAAATTAGTGAATTCACACAATTTGTACTGTTCTTAAGTCTTTTCCAAGTCTCATTTTCTTCTAAACATAAAATGGCTCTAATCAACGGAAAATACGCCCACGAAAGCAACGAAAATTTCGAAGCTTACATTATGGCTTTATGTAAGAAAATTATTTATTTAATTTTTTGAATGATAATGGTTTTATTATTTTTAGCTCCCGAGATGACACCAGAATTAGCTAAAAAATACGCCGGCTCAAAATCAACTTTGGAAATTTCCGTAACCGGCGATCAATGCACCATTTCTAGCAGTTCCGGAAGAAAGGAAACTTTCACTTTCGGACAGAGCTTCAAGGACGATTTATTCCCCGGCCAAGAAATCCAAAGTACGGCCACTTTAAACGGAAATAAAGTCGAAGTAAAATCGAGTAGCTCAACCGGAATTTCTGGAAGTCGTGTTTATGAATTTTCCGATTCTGGACTCGTTGTTGTAAGTTTTTAATTCCATTAGTTCCAATTTGGAAGATTACAAAAATGCTTTATTCTTCTTTTAGACTTACACTTCAGCTAATGCGACAGCTAAACGCATCTACAAGAGAGTATGAACTGTTTAAAGATTTAAACTGTAAAAAAAATAATTATGTTGTTTTAATAAATTTGATTCAAACATAAATTTCGAATTTTATTTTTATAATGATAATTAAAATTTATCAAAAAGAAACAAACAATAATAAACATTGAATATTGTATTTTGGACTTGTAACATGATGAGATCGGATGATTAAAATCAATTTTACATTTTACACAATAGATAATGAGAAGCGCACCCACATTTGTTGTTTAATCATCAGGCGAAATCAAACAAGGATTTATTTATAAATTTTAAACGCAAACACCGATAAGTTTATATAACATACACCCGTTTTTTTTTTTTTTTATTGTTAATCTCGATTTATAAACCCTCAAAAATATAGGTGACAAAAAAATCGTTTATTTTATGATTTTTTTTTTCAGATGGATTTATTTCGTATCCTGATTGACGAATTAATTCTTGAGATTTATTCGACGAAAAAAAAGTAAATAAATAAACCTTAGATTTCATCGCATGATTTTTTAATAATTCGTTAAGCCTTGATTTAAAAAAATTTTATACATATAATTTCGGTTTATAGCGTTTTCCGCCTTCCGATTGCAAATCTCCAGCATTTGCGATCCTTCCAGTCCCCCTGGTGCCAGGTTTCTTTCGGACAACACCTTCTTTCTCCATTCTTCAAGAGCAATCTGCACATATACATAGGTTGACATCTATTAACGTTTGCGATAGCGCTTGCCACAATTTTTGATGTGTTATTCTTCATATAGCTACTTTCATCTCTGTGATTTGGTTTAGATTGAATATATTGTCCATGCACGCTCTGAATCCCGCTTGTTTTTCCATTTCGCATGGTGCCCGTTCTTCTTGTATCAAATTTTTTACAATTCGACCGTATAGTATGCTTAAGTATGCTTCTTTGTATTGGTTGGAGATTTCAATCTCCCCGATTTAATCTTACCTACTAGTCAACATTCAATTAAAACCAGGGCTTTTATTGATTTTTTAAGTGTTCTTAATGCCAAACAGTACAATAACGTTAAGAATGAAGATGGCAGAATGTTGGATTTGTTCATCTCTAATGCTGACCTGAATTGTCACATAATAAGATCTGACAATCCAGTTGTATCAGAAGATTCTTATCATCCCAGTCTTGAAGTGGAAGTTTACTACTCTACACCTACTAATCAACAGCGGTTCCCATCTTCTGATGATTTACGATATGACTTTCATCGAGCAAATTACCCTGCATTATATGATCACTTCTTTAAGTATGATTCGTCTTTTTTGCTTTCCCATACCGATGTCAATGAGGCTTTGGATGCCTTCTATGATGCCATTTACTCCGTAATTAATACACCCTGTTAAAACCAAATCTGATAGTTCTTACCCACCGTGGTTTTCGCCGGAAATAAAGAGACATATTAATATCAAAAAATTCTATCACAAAAAATGGATCAAAACAAAAAAAATTGTATTTTATAGTGAATTTAAATATAAAATAAACGACAGTTACATTAAGTATCTTAACAACATACAAAATACCATCAAGACTGATCCGTCCAGTATATGGAATTTTCTCCTAGCTAAGAAACGTACCACAAGAATACCCTGTAATCTGATTGATAGTGAGAGCAATGTTCTTGCTGATCCTCAAGATATTGTAAATGCTTTTGCTGACATGTTTTCTGCTGTTCACACTGTATCTACTGACGGAACTTTCACTGAATCTAATTTCAATCCGTTGCCATACTCTTTTCATCCCACTACAGAAGAGGAGCTAATTAAATTAACGGCAACGTTTTCTAATAAGCATACTGCTGGAGATGATTTGTTGCCAAGTTTTATGGTCAGAGATTACCGTTATATATTTGCTTGGCCTCTTAAATTTATTATTAACTTGTCCATTACATCCTGTGAATTTCCTGAAAGATGGAAACGATCAAGAATTGTGCCTGTTTATAAAAAGGATGATCGTACGTCCCTCTCAAACTATAGACCAATTTCGATAATTTCCAATTTTGCTAAACTATTTGAAAAGTTATTATATTCTTTTATGTACACCAGCACGTGCCCCTTTGTGTCAGCTTCCCAGCATGGTTTTGTTTCCGGTCGCTCTACAGTTACCAACTTGGCTACGATTTCCGAGTTTATCTGTAGCACCTTGGATAGACGTGGGCAGGTGGATGTTGTATACACTGATCTATCCAAAGCCTTTGATCTGATTGACCATAGAATTCTCTTGTATAAATTGAGCTCTTTCGGATTTGTTCCTTCAGCAATTCAACTTCTGGCCTCTTATTTGCAACATAGAAAATGTTATGTTGCTTGCGATGGATATTTTTCTAATGAGTTCACTCTTACCTCAGGGGTTCCACAGGGATCAAATTTGGGCCCTCTATTATTTATTCTTTTCATAAATGACTTACTTCTAAAAATTGATTGTCGGATGTTGGGATATGCTGATGATATCAAGATCTATGCCGAAGTCTCATCGATGGCAGATAAGCTGCAGCACAACTTAAACACAATAGTGCAATGGTGTAAGACCTACAAACTTAACCTTAATATAGATAAATGTTGTGTACTTACTTATAGCCGAGCATTTTAAGTCGTGTTAAGGAGTATAGGGATTTGGGGGTCCTGTTTGATTCAAGTCTTAATTTTAAAAAACATATCAATAATGTGTGTTCGGAGGCCTTTAGGTCCCTAGGTTTTGTGATGCGTATGTCTAAATATTTCACAAGTGTCAGCTTATTAAAGACCTTGTATTGTGCTTACGTTCTGAGTAAGTTAGAATACGCTTGCCTGATTTGGAGTCCCTTATATGCATGTGAGTTCTTAAGCCTTGATCGAGTCCATCGTAGATTCTTAAAATTTCTTTCTTACAAATCTGATGGAATTTACCACAAAATGATTTGCTTGCACGACATAATATGATTTCCTTGATGGACAGAAGAAACGCGTTTTATGAAAGGTTTCTACAAAGGCTTATCGAATATAACATCGATTGCCCTTTCATTCTTGAGCGACTAGGGTTTGTTGTTGCAAGGAGTAACTCAAGATATACGCAGCTATATCTTGAAGGATTCGTCATTCCTTATGCTAGGACAAACATTATGAGACGGGCGCCAACATACACTCTCTGTAAAGTGGGCAACAGGATTCCAGACAATCAGTGATCACCTGCATGCAAATTCACTTATACATCTAAATTCACTTATTTAGTTTTTATTTTTATTTTCTTTATAATTCGGTCAATTGTTAATTTCTTGAATTTTTTGTAATTTATTTTTTTTTTCTCACATACAGATACATATTATTGTATTATTACATTATGTAATATATATTGTTATCCTTTTTTGGGCTATGCCTGTTGGGTAATAAAGGAATATTATTATTATTATTATTAAGGAATTTGTGACTGTTAGACATCGGTAGTTATTACAGTTCTTTCTATCTCCTTTCTTATGGATTGGTGTTATCCACCCTTTCTTGCAAACCTCTGGAATTTCTTTTTGAATCACTCATAATTCGCTCATAATAATATGTTTAGAAAATTAGTAAATAAAGAATTTTTTCAAAACTATTTTGTATATCTCTAAATGATGGCGATTAAAAAAGGTTATCCACGAAATTAAATGAGATTTTTTAAATCGGATTTTTTCCCGATAAAATCGATAATTGTCTCTATGTGCCCTGAAAATATTACAACAATATTCCCATAAATAGATTTTTCCGCAAATTTTAAATGTACTGAAAACAAGAAATTTAAAAAATCGTATCTCAAAGACGAATTGAGATATCAAGATGAAATAAGGAACATTTTGAAGCAACTTCAATAAAGATTTAGTAAGCAATGAATAATTTCTTATTTTCCATCAATCTTACTGTTATGATTTTTTTAACCTAACCCCTTGTACAGGGTGTCCAAATTTCGATGGGTTTGCAAGATATCTCAGTTATTATGAAAGATAGAAAGTTGCGGTTTTCGCGAACCTGAGCTACTTTTTTGTGAAACTTACAATGCCGCAAACCAAATTTTCATAGACCTCTTCGTTTTTGATATACAGGGAGTATTTCAAAATTTACGATTTTCAGACACCCCCCGTATCTCGGCTATCCGGAAACTTAGTAAAAAAGTAAAAACGGGTTCTAATAGATTTTTTTACGGAGAATCCAATGGTGCACGTAGAATTTTTCTAGTCATCACGGTTTTTGAGTTATAAACACAACTTAGGTTTTTTTAAATGGAACCACCTATATTTTATTTTTTTATTGAACTGGATTTTTTTCAAGCTTTTCAATGATATATAATACTCTATACTTACCTTTATAATTAACCTCGAAATTGAATAAAATACATTATTTTATAAGTAGGCAATGATAAATAGACTGCCTAGCCTGACGTCACAGAGATGGGCGGAGCTTATATCGACTCCAAACAATTTCGTTGCTAACCACAGTTGCTAATGATAAACCGTAATAAAAATGTCATTTGAAATGTCATAAAAAGTCACTTAGTTTATTTTATTTTAACACTAATTGAAAAATTGCATATGGTGATTTACCGTTAGCAACACACTTAGCTATGAAAATGTTTGGAGTCGATATAAGCTCCGCCCATCTCTGTTACGTCAAGGCTTAGGTTGTCTATTAAGTGATCGCGTTGCTAGGATACCGGAATAAACAAAGTAAATATAGTTAATTACTGTCAAACTTAATTTTGAATTTTGTGCTAACAATAAGTCGTGTGTTACTTAATTACCTTTAATTAACTTAACTTAATTATCTTTTTCTTGAAATGGAGCGCTATGAAAATTATGAAAAATATGACATGCTAGCATGTTACATTCATGCAAATGAAAATGTTAATCAAGCTGCTGAATTATACATAAATAGGTAGAATGCAACATTTATCAGCAATAACATTTTATTAGCAGATTGTTTCACTTCAGATATCCAGAAAGAGCGCAACCAAATTCAAAAATTTTTTTGCGAATAAAGCGTAATTTGATCAATTATGGAAGTTTTTTGATGCCCAGGCCAAAAAAATATAATAAAGAAAATCGGAATAACAATGAAATTACCGTGTTAGGATGTGTGGAAGCCGCGCCTAAAACATCATGTAGGGAAATTGAATGTCAAGTTGGAATTAAAAAATCGACAGCCTGTGCGATTCTAAAAAAGTATAAATATAAACCCTACAAAGAACAAATAGTTCACCACTTACACCCGGGAGATGCCGAACGACGTTTGGAATTCTGTAACTGGTATTTGAACCATGCACAAAATAATATTGAATTTAGTTCCTCTATTATATGGTCTGATGAGGCATATTTTACCAGCACAGGAATCTATAATCGTCATAATAACAGGCATTGGCATCAAGAAAACCAACATATTGTAATTGAGCGGGAGCGTCAAGGAAAATTTGGTTTTAGCGTGGCATGTTTTATTATTGGGCCACGAATTGTTTACAAAATATTTGAAGGAAACCTTTGCGCTAATCGCTATTTGGCCATCTTGCAAGAGGCTTTGCCAGAGATTTTGGATGATATTCCTCTTATTCGGCTAAATAATATTTATTTTCAGCAGGACGGAGCTCCCGCTCATAATGCGCAGTTAGTGAGTCGCTACCTAACTGCAGAATTTCCTGGTAGGTGGATAGGCACACATGGTCCAACGCGATGGCCAGCAAGATCACCTGATTTATCTATTTTGGACTTCTTTTTATGGGGATATATCAAGAATCGGGTATATAGTACCCAGAATCGAACAAAATTGGAATTGAAAATTGCTGTAACTGATGCTTTTTCACATTTACAGCAACATCCCATAACTATTCTAAATGCAATTAAACGCATTACTAAACTTTGTGAACAATGCGTGCATCAAAATGGTAACAACTTTGAACAATTCTTGTAACTTGAAGCCATATTTGCATAATGTTTAGTTTTTAATAATTTTTCGTTTTTAGCAAACAAAATTTAATAGATACATTTTTTTAATAAGTTAATAATTAATATTATAGCATTTTCAAAATTCTTTGTTTATTCTGGTATCCTAGCAACGCGATCACTTAATTTATCATAGCCTACTTATAAAATAATGTGGTTTTTTTAATTTCGAGATTAATTATAAAGGTAAGTATAGAGTATTATATATCATTGAAAAGCTTGAAAAAATTCTAGTTCAATAAAAAAATAAAATATAGGTGGTTCCATTTAAAAAAACCTAAGTTGTGTTTATAACTCAGAAACCGTGATGACTAGAAAAATTCTACGTGCACCATTGGATTCTCCGTAAAAAAATCTATTAGAACCCGTTTTTACTTTTTTACTAAGTTTCCGGATAGCCGAGATACGGGGGGTGTCTGAATATCGTAAATTTTGAAATACTCCCTGTATATCAAAAACGAAGAGGTCTATGAAAATTTGGTTTACGGCATTGTAAGTTTCACAAAAAAGTAGCTCAGGTTCGCGAAAACCGCAACTTTCTATCTTTCATAATAACTGAGATACCCTACAAATCCATCGAAATTTGGACACCCTGTACATATTAGATTTTTATTGATTTAAATACGGTAACATAAAAAATCGTATCTCAAGAACGAATTGAGATGTCAAGCTGAAATAAAGAGCATTTTAAAACAAATTTAATAAAGATATAGTGTTAAATAATTTCTTATTTTCCATAAACTTTGTTGTTATGATTTTTTGAACTCAACTCTGCATATTTTGTTATTATTGATTTTAATAATTAAACTAATCGTATCTCAAAAACGAATTGAGATATCAAGACAAAATAACAAACGTACTTATTAAAGAGAATTTCGGGAAATTTCGGTTTAATAAAATAAATATATTTCTTTAATTTTTTATTGTTTCAATAATTACATTTGAATGAAAAATTTGTGTTTTCGTGGATTATTTAGAGTCTCTTGTAGATTCTTTTGGCAGTTACACCACTTGGGGCTGAGTAATGCTGGAAAAATCGATAAAAAGAATTAAAATAATTTCGTTAATTTGCACTTACAACAACAAGACCGGAGTCGCTAAATTCATAAACTCTATTTCCTGTTGTGGATCCACTAACGGATTTAATTTCGACCTTGTTGCCACTAAGAACAGCGGTACTCTAAAAAAATCATAATTAAATTAAATGTTTGTTTATTAATTTTTTGGCGTGTTTGTTACTTGGGCCTTTTGTCCCGGTAATGGTTCGTCTTCAAAGGTTTTTCCAAAAGTAAAAGTTTGTCCTCTACCCGTAGTGCTGCTAATGCTACAGTTGTCACCGTCGACTTTAATTTCGATCGTTGGTCTCGAACTGTCCATCTTCGAGGCCAATTCGTCGGTAATTTCCGGCCCCAAAGACTTCAAGTATTGGGCGAAATTTTCGTTCCCGGTGTTTTCAAATTTTCCGGCAATCAAGACCATTTTCTTTTTCGATTTTTCTCACTCTTCCAATAACGAATCGTCAAAATAAACTGAATTTGAACCGCTCAAAACCCATCTTTTATAGGGGGCATAGTTTTATGACACGGATTAAGACCGATCGATGTGATCGATGTTTAAAAATGAGTGGTTTATTGCCGATATTATATTTTAAACGGGATTATCAAAACCATTTTTCAGTTTGCTTATTGGAAAATTACCCAAATAATTTTTGTCAAGTTAATTAATTTTTTGTTCAAATAGATCTTTAAATCTGTGTGCTCAAATTTTAACTCACAAGCAACACTCTCAGATAAAAGTATTTGAAAAGGCAGGCCAAAGTAATTTAACCTTAATCTATTGAATTAAACGAAAGATATAAATAGACCAGTATAACCGAGACATTTGTCATAATTTCAAGTGATTTACAACCGTCTTCATCTTAAACTCTCTCGATACAATGGCTTTACTTGCGGGGAAATATCAATTTGAAAGAAATGAGAAATATTTTGAATATTTAAAATCTTTGGGTAAGAAGTGTATTACTAAAAATGTGTTGATTATATTTTTTAAATTATCCTTTAGGACCAGAAGTGAGTGATGAGATTGCTTCGAAATTAGATGGGTCAAAACCAACAATTGATGTTGTTATCGATGGAAATGTGTGCAACATTTCAAGTTCAGCAGGAAGAGGTCAAAAGTTCACCTTCGGTGAAACTTTTGATGAAGAGTTATTCCCTGGAATAACCGTTAAGGTGGGTGAAAATTGAAATTGAAATAATTCAAATTAATACTTTTAATTGGTTGTATAGACCACGGCTACATTGAATGGAAATAAAGTTGAAGTTCAATCGGTGTTTGGTGATGGCAGAAGCGGAAGCAGGGTTTTCGAATTCTCCGATGGCGGATTAATTATTGTGAGTGTTAATTTTTTAGTTTAAAATTGGATTTTTCTGTTTTATTTCTTTCAGCATTACTCTAATGCCAAAGGAAGTGGAAAAAGATTTTTCAAGAGAGTTTAAAAGTTGATTTCGTCTTCTTCTAAAAGTTTTTTTTTTCTCCAAGTGTTTAAAGAAATTTAAAAAGTTTTCTTATTATTTTAAAAATAAATGTGTTGAATTTAAGTAACTTTTTAATTTTATCTCCTTTTCAATTTGTCATTTTATCAAAACCTTATCGTGTATTCGATTATTTACGTTCAATTATATTGCTTTTATGATTAATTAAAAAAAATTTTAAGTGGATTACGAAACGTGTCAAGGTACAATGTTGCATCAATATCAAATAAAATCGGTCCTAGTAAATTTTTTCCCCCTTTTTCGTAACGTGTCATTTAAGTGACACGTTGACATGGTTTTCGTTTTTGGGAGAAAGTTCTATTTCAATCAACCCTTCGCGGAAAAGATTTGATCATCAATTTTAGTTAAGTTAAAACAATTCTAATAAAAATAAATTTTTACATTAAGGAAGCGTCAATAACAGTATGGAGTTTTATCCTATTGATACCTTTTCCGATTTAGAAATGAAAGCTTAATCCGGGTACTCTGCCATCTGTGACACGACATTTTCAAATGGAAATATGAGCGCAATGGAGCTCAACTTCGATGAATCCCCCCCATCGTTTTCAATCAGGGTTACTATATGATGGTAGTAGTTTTCGTTTTAAACCGTTTCGCCCGACCCAACACAACACGTCCTTTCATATATCCAATCAACTTCCATGATCACATAATAATAGGCTATCAAAAACAAGCAGTTACAAAATTAAAAAAAAAATTTAAATAACTAAACACCATGTTTTTATTTCGATTAAGAAATGAAAAAGAAAAGAAATAATATTGAGTTTAAAAATTGGGTCGAAAAGCTTTTATCCTATTTTAAAAGGGAGCTTTCAGGTTGAAAATTAGTTAGGCGCAAGATCCATTAGCGATTTGTGAACGGGAGATAGTGGAAAATAATGCAATTTGAGAAACTTGACGGAAAGTATACATTTTCGTTCTTATTTTATTTAATTTTTTTTTAATGTATTCTATTTTACAGAAATTCCATTTTTAGTTGATTTACAAAACGAATGATTTCACCCAACCAGTAAAATAAAAAATAATAAAAATGGGGAGTAAATACATTTTTTATGTTGAATGCGATTGCGAAAAAACTGTTCAAACTCGAAAGCCCAAATCAATGCAATATGTTGTGTCGTGTTATTTATAGATTTGGTGCGAGCTTTCAGGTGTGTGTACTACGCGATCTGAAAACGTTATTTACCACAAACATTTTTTTTATTTAATTCTTGTCATAACTAAATTTAAAACAATTAAATTAAACAAATTATTTATGGAACACCATTTATTCTTTTGGGTAAGTAGAGATATAACAGAATGTATATTATAGTAGAGATATGTATTGAGTTATTACGATCAGAAATTGACTAGAATTCTTTAGAAAATTAAAGTTTCTTCAAAAAAGTCCATTATTAGTTTTATATCTGTCAAAAAGTGACACTTGCCCGGTTGCACCGTTTACATAGTTGAGCATAACTTAGTTAAGCAGTTCTTATAGTTAAGAAGAACTTAAATTTTATGTCTATTGCACCGACACAACATATACAATGCTCAACTAAGTAACGTTTAAGTATCGGTTATTTGGCAACAACGCCATAAAATTTAGTTATTTTTGTAAATTTTAGTAATTTTTTAGGGTTTTTCGTGTTGTCAAGTTAATGTCAGTTGACATTTGACATATACCATGTTAATAACATTTCTACTATTCGTATCATTCCCAACTTCGCGAATATTCGAAGAGTGTTGAGTTATATTGTGAGTTATAAGGACGTTTATAAAAAATGTCGCAAGAGGTGAACCTCAAATTTTTCACCTAATGAAAAACAGGTGTTGTATAGTTTAATATACAAGTACAAAGAAATAGTGGAAAATAAGAAAACGGATGATTTTTATAATAAATTGTTTTATAAATCATTAAAGTAGTTATTTATTAAATTATCTCTTAAATAATGTATCCCATTATTGCCGATATTATTCATCTCCACACGGCCAGCCTCAATTTGAACATTTAAATCTGCTTCATTAATGTCATCTGGCAAAACAGCAACATTTTCTTCGGCCACAACTGTTCTGGTAATATTTTGTAGAACTGCCGTTACTACAATATCACACAGTGGAAATTTTCAAACGTAGGTCATATGCAAGGACAGGAAATCGACGTTTCCAATTTGCAAAGAACCGTTCCACTGTATTTCGGGTTCTTATATGAGCTTCATTATACAGTTCTTCTGGTCTTGTTCTACACTCTGCCAATGGAGTTAGAAAATACTCTCGCAGAGGATATCCACTGTCGCCTAAAAGAACCTTATCATTAATCATTTGTAATCAAATAGTAATATGTACTATTTTACGTTAAGTATCAGTAACATCATACCTAATAATATGCCATTTTGGAAATCTCCGTTTTCTAACCGTGCTCTAATCCGACTATTATTAAATATAGTTGAATCGTGAACAGATCCTGGCCACCTTGCCACAATATCCATGGCTTCCAAATTTGCATTTACATTACATTACATAGAATACATATCGGGTAGGCGGACCAACCAACCTTGCACCGCGACCCTAAGGATCTATTGTACCCCGATATCAAATTTCACCGTGCAGTCCAATGCTCTTAACGAACATTAATACCTTGCTCGGCGGAAGGTCATTCAGATCTTTTGAGGAGATAAACTGCGACCCAAAAATCGAGAATCTGATACGGTTAACGGCAGGGCAGTGGCATAAAACATGCTCAACCGTCTCTGCTTCCTCCGCACATAGTCGGCATTCAACATCGTCGGCTAAACCCAACAAGTTGAGGTGTACTTTTAATCGGCAGTGCCCAGTAAAAACACCCATTAGAACTTTTATGCTACTACGGGCAAGTCCTAAAATATTCCCGGGTTTGACAGTGGCGATGTTAATAAACACCTTAGCATGTCTCATTCCAGGAGAACTGGTCCACAGTAGGCGAAGTCTCTCTTCAGCCCACAGTCCAATCCTATATTTGGCCATCGCAAATGATACACCAACTGC